GGAAGAAATGGTGGGAAGTGGGCGACAGCGCCGGAGGGCGGGAGGGACTGGGGAGAGATTGGTGCCAACACACAGTAGAAACCCTGAAGTAGTAGATGGCGTGTCATTTTGGCTGCTCTCTGTTGTTCTTTCCTTTTCTAGCGCACACAACTAGCTGTTGCGCCATCTTCTTTACCCCGTGTATTTTATGTACAGGGGTCCCGGGAGCCATCTATTAAATAGAACCCTGCGCGCCATGTACTCTCAAAATAGTGTACTACAAGTAGCAAGAAGCTACTAGTAACAAGGGCATCACTACTAGTAACAAGGGCATTGCCACTAGTAACAAGGGCATTACTACAAGTAGCAAGAAGCTACTAGTAACAAGGGCATCACTACTAGTAACAAGGACATTGCCACTAGTCACAAGGGCATTACTACAAGTAGCAAGAAGCTACTAGTAACAAGGGCATCGCTACTAGTAACAAGGGCATTGCCACTAGTAACAAGGGCATTACTACAAGTAGCAAGAAGCTACTAGTAACAAGGGCATCACTACTAGTAACAAGGGCGTTGCCACTAGTAACAAGGGCACTACTACTAGTAGCTAGAAGCTACTAGCAACAAGGGCATCACTACTAGCAACAAGGGCATTGCCACTAGTAACAAGGGCATTACTACAAGTAGCAAGAAGCTACTAGTAACAAGGGCATCACTACTAGTAACAAGGGCTTTGCCACTAGTAACAAGGGCATTACTACAAGTAGCAAGAAGCTACTAGTAACAAGGGCATCACTACTAGTAACAAGGGCATTGCCACTAGTAACATGCATTACTACAAGTAGCTAGAAGCTACTAGTATGCGCACAAGTAGCAAGGGCATCGCTACTAGTAACAAGGGCATTACTACAAGTAGCAAGAAGCTACTAGTAACAAGGGCATCACTACTAGTAACAAGGGCATTGCCACTAGTAACAAGGGCATTACTACAAGTAGCAAGAAGCTACTAGTAGCAAGGTGCCTTACTACTAGTGACAAGAGGCTACTAGTAACATAGTTCGTGAGACCTCCTTGGTGATCGGCTTGCAATCTCCTTACACTCGATCAGTCGGCTTCTTTGGCTGTTTCATTGTACTCCATGTCACTCAGCAGACCTGCCCCTGTGAACATTTGGTTTCAGTGTTGGGATGTCTAACCTTTTGCTACAGCTTGTGCTACAGCTTGTGCTACATGCGCGATGGCCTCCATCTTAGTAGCGATGGCCTCGGATGGCCTCCAACCTAGAAGCGATGCCCTCCAACCTAAGAGCAATGGTTTTTTATTGTCCTTCATACATTTTTGTGCGTCGAGGCTGAGGCTGGCTCGACCTGGCCGCAAATGACCAGAGCTGCTGGACTTGACCTCAAGTCATTCTTGGCAGATGACTCGACCGGCTACTAGTAGCGTCCTTGTTCCTAGTAGCGATGCCAGGATCCCCTAGTAGCGTCCGTGCTACTAGTAGTAAGGCTAGGAGCAAATAGTAGCGTCCGTGCTACTAGTAGTAAGGCTAGGAGCTAATAGTAGTGTCCGTGCTACTAGTAGTAAGGCCAGGAGCTAATAGTAGCGTCCTTGCTACTAGTAGTAAGGCTAGGAGCTAATAGTA